AACCAATTTAGGGCGCGATAACGACAAGAAGGCGAACTTCTTGCGTATCGTTGCAATGCATTTAAAGTTGCCGTTCTTTCACGCTTAAAAGTGGCCCGTTTTACGGCTAAAAACGACAAATTTAACTTATGCTTGTGTGTGTCAAAAGGCAAAAGAGGCGGCTAGCGGGGATCGAACCTCCGTACTTCGTCGACTTGGGTTTCCACGGACAGGCACTGTATCCACTCGGCCACAGTGACTACAGTGTGCTGAGACGTTTGCGCACGCTCTCCTTGCAGTGCACGCTCAAAGCAGAATATTTCTAAATTTTAGTAGTGGACAAGGCTACGATTTGATTTCGATGTGATGATATATGTGCACTCAAAGGAGTTGGTAGGCATACACAAACGGCTTCAAGCTCACATTTTCCCACCAACTCCACGAGAAATATTCTGCAGAGTGAGAACTCAAATCGTAGCCTTGTCCACTATTTACATTTACAAATATTCTGCCATCTGTCCATCAAGTCAGATCACTCCGGTTAACAACACCAGCAAAGAGAGAGAATAATTAACAAGTTATTTCATAAACTGCATTTGATGCTGATGCTCGCCGCCTTTTTGTTGGTCGAGTCGATAGAACTAAAGCTGAGACTGGAACTGAAACAAACTCGGCCATAGCTAACTTCGGGAGGGTGTCCGCCCGGTGGGCCCAGAGAGCATGCACCCTGGTGCTGACAACATTGAAATGTCAAAAAATTGTTCTCAACATTTGTACATTCAAAAAAAATTTAAGGCCGAAGTGTGGACGTTACTAAACAGATCCCTGTAAAGCTATGTAGGGAAAATATAAATTGTAGGCTAAAATGAAAGATGATGTGGCTATTCGATGTGTACAATGAGCTGTATGGGGATTGCACAGTTGGTTGCATTGGAGTACACTTCCCCCTCCCTTGCGACGGCCACCAGGCGCAGGCAGCTGTATCTGTCAGCTGGACCAAAAACGGAGTAAACTAGAACGAGCTTTTACCGCGAGGTTTTTTGCGAGATGCGAGCGTAGCGAGCTCCGAGCGAAAAGCCGAGCCCATAGAACCAAAAACGGTGTGAAATTTAGCAGTTCAAAATGAATATGCAGCTGTATCTGTCAGCTGGACCAAAAACAGTGTAAACTAGAACGAGCTTTTACCGCGAGTCTTTTTGCGAGACGCGAGCGTAGCGAGCTTCGAGCGAAAAGCCGAGCCCATAGAACCAAAACCGGCCCAAAGCCGATGCCGATGCTCCGATGTGTCAGTCAAGAAAATAATTTTATTCTCAAATGCAAACAATATTTGTATGACTTGGATCAAGCAA